CATCTGCAACAACGAAGATTTCGTGAACGGGTTTGCGTAATTTCATGTTGAAGTAAACATATCGCCTACCATATGTGGTATTCGGTTTGCCATTTGCCACCTGTAAGTTGAAAAGTGTTCGTGAAGTCGGTCGTTGCTCGAAGAATCCTAACTTCTGTGCATGTCAACAAGGTAGCGAGCTTTCGTCATTACATCAGTGATATAAAACAGACGGCTACGTCCGCTGGCTACGGTTGCCATTAGTGTGTGTTTGCTAGGACGCTCCCCGAAAGAAATTTCGTGTCCGTCGGTTTGGAGCTCGGAAAATGCCAGGGTTTTCTGAAATTTAGAGAAAAGCTGTATGAACAAGTGCTCGTCAAAAGTCTGTTGACAAATGACCTCTCACATTCGCAGCAACATTTCTGCTGCTGAGCCATGTTGCAGCTTGGTGTTATAGAAGAGCTAGTCTAACCTTTGTCGGTCGGTCAGATCTCTGCGCTTAAGAATAACCTTTTTAAAGTCTCGTAAGGTTCACAAACACCAGTAGTAAATTACTAGGGGCGATGTACTCGTTGACTTCACTGCCGCGAAGAACTGAGCATGTGGGTCTTACGCGTCACGCTTATGGATGTCAGTTTCTGCGTGGCTTCGATATTGTCGGGCCAAAATGGAATCAGCTCAGTGAGTGAGGAGATAGTCTTACTCTTAAGTAACTTAGGAGTCCGTTCCGCCATGATAAATATAAAGTGTGACAATGAAAAACAAGAAAGATATTCGAAAATATGGAAACAGCATCACAATACGTAAAGAAGTAACAATAAAAAATAACACTTAATGTCCCGCAAACTAATGAGGTTGGCATCAAATGATAAAGACTTGAGTTTGGGGATTTAATTGCCGCTACAGTGTCCTGGCTTAGGTGCTGCAGCTTTCGATACGTAAAGTCAGTGCTCAGGTCCACTTCTGAGATTCCTGATCAGTTGCAAGTGAAGCCCTCTTCGATGTAGTTTGTATGGGTAGGTTGATATGTCCGAAAGTACTGTTCCGATGGAAGTTCGGCAGCGTCACCAACATTTTTGGTTAGGCCATCACGGCTTGATATTTTTATGAAGTATTTATGCGAAAGTGCCGGATACTTTACATGTCTTGAAAGTTGAAACAAAACTTTAAACATAGAGAATGTTTGCCCAGTGACCTTACCCACCTCAAGGTCTTCAGGAGGTAAAAAGTGCTTGTGCAGTTTCGGCGGTCTTGGTTTTTATTTTTATTGCTAACTTCCCAATTTATACTCATTTGGTCACCTACCTGGCATTCTCACACCAGACATGACAGAAAATTTAAGCATAATTTTTAAGATCATCTGTTTGTAATGTGAAATGAGTTAGTCTTCGCTTAAAATGCAAGGGACAAGAGCTGCTGATTGGTTTGGTCTATCGCAGACCAAGCTGTGAGGCAAATGAGATCCTGTTAAGCAGTCTCAATACTTGGTCCCAAAGTGGTCGATGTCTAATCCTAGGGGACTTTAATGCACCTATGGTAGACTGGGAAAATCTGCGAACTGAATCGTCAGAAAATTCCTTCGAGCAGGAACTAGTTGATGCGGTTATCACATGTGCCCTAGTGCAACATGTGAAAGAAGCGACTAGGTACGACCCGGACACTGAATCATCCTTATTAGATCTTATACTGACTCACTATGAGGATGATGTTGCGAACCTCCACCATATGCCACCCTTAGGTAAAAGTGACCACGCAGTTTTAACTTTCGACTTCCATATAACTGCCAGTCATGAGGACGCGTCAGTCCAGTCCAGACCCAACGTCTGGAAAGCAAACATACCAGACATCATGCACTCAGCATCGTTAATAGATTGGACAATAGACCCAGAGTCCTCCATTGAAACGGCCTGGGACGCATTTCGAAAATCATACTTAAAAGTTACCACACCTCACATCCCTTGGACTATACCAAAGGGGCCGAAAAACTCACCACCATGGTTCAGTAGGGAGGTCCGTATCCTTCTCCGTAAAAAAGGAAAACGTGGGATAGATTTAGGTTACTGGGGACTGATGAGTCAAAATCTCAGTATCGAAAGGCTCGGAACACTTGTGCCTCGACCCTCCGTAAGTCTAGAAAATTGTACGAAGAAAAACTTGTTAAGGAATCCATAGAATGTCCTAAACGCTTGTATTTCTATATAAACCAAAGGACAAGGAGAAAAGGAAATATTCCTGCTCTATGGGGAGACAGTACTGCTTCATCATTAGTGGAGGACGACTTTGGTAAGGCTCAAGCGTTCTCGAACTACTTTAGCAACGTGTATACCATAGAAGCGCCCTTCTCGTCAGCGTATACAGATCCCCCCATACATACACTGGATAGCGTGACCATTAAAGAACTCGATGTCTTTGGTCTGCTAAATAAGATTGAAATAGGTAAATCCACGGGGCCCGATGACTTACATCCTAGGCTACTGTAGGAATTATCTCACTTCGTTGCGAACCCTTTAAGTACATGCTTTAACCTATCCGTTACGCAGGGTCGCTTACCGAAGGATTGGAAAAACGCCATAGTAAGTCCTGTCTTCAAAACAGGCACGAAACACAAACATGAGAACTACGGCCCCGTTAGCCTAACTAGTGTGGTTGTTAAAATAATAGAAAAGATTAATCGGAAGGAGCTGATTGAGTATCTCGATAAAAACCGGATCCTCTCGGAGAAGCAGCATGGCTTCAGAATAGGTTATTCTTGTCTCACTAACTTATTAGTGGCTCGTGAAAGCTGGTGTGCTCTTAAGGACCAAAAGCTACCTGTAGACGTCGTAAAGCTTTTGATAAAGTTCCGCACAACCGGCTGTTATATAAGTTAAGACATGTCGGGATTGGAGGTAATTTATTGATGTGGATAAAAGACTTCTTAGTTGGGCGTCAACAAAGAGTAAGGGTGAACTCAAAGTTATCTAGCTGGGAAACTGTGCTTAGTGGAGTGCCCCAGGGTACAGTTTTGGGGCCAGTGCTATTCCTCTTGTATGTAAATGACCTTCCTTGTCTCCTATCATCATCGGTCTTGCTATATGCTGACGATGTCAAGATATGGAGAACGATACGATGTAAGAGTGATAGCTTAGAACTTCAAAATGACCTGAAGAAGTTATCTGAATGGTCTCAAACATGGCAGTTGCCGATAAATACTTCCAAGTGTGTTGTGATGCATATCGGTCATCAAGGCACAGATACATACACGATGAATAACACTGAGCTACCTGTCGTCCAGACATATAATGACTTAGGAGTTATCGTTAGTCAAGACTTAAAGACTACTGCACACTGCCGTGCAATAGCCGCCAAAAGTTTTAGAACGTTATGGTCAATACGTAGGGCTTTTAGTCATGTCGACACTAAGACGTTTTTGACTTTGTATACAGTGTTCGTTCGTCCTAAACTTGAGTACTGCATACAAGCGGCTAGCCCCTGCTTTAAAAAAGACAGTGAGCTTCTGGAAAAGGTTCAGAGAATGGCGACTAAACTGGTTAACGCAATAGCGAAGCTTACGTATGAATCTCGAATGGCCAAGCTAAACCTTTCCCCGTTGTCATATCGCAGAACTAGAGGCGTCTTGATTACAGTCTACAAATTGCTTAGTGATAAATTTGCACCTAACATGCCCTCATTTTTCTTGTCTTCAAAAACAGAGAATTTACGGGGACACTCCAAAAAAGATCATAAGCCGAGAACAAATTACTTGTCAGCTGACTATCGACTTTCCCATCGAATCATCAACGAGTGGAATTCACTAACTTAGCACGTGGTTGAGGCTCCATCCGTCGACTCTTTCAAAAGAAAGTTGGATCAACTGAGAGACAACCATTGCCAGGACTAACATAGGCCATCGAGCCTCCTGTCCTTCCCAAACTGAAACTGAAACTGAAATGCGCTGGCAATAAATGAGAGAGACGGGATTCGAGGTCGGGTGGAAAGTTAAGAGTGACTTTATCTGTGTCATTGTTGAAGATTGTGAGGCTTGCCGATCAAAGTCGCCAGAGTTTGAAGAAATTGGGTTCCCTATAACGTGATTGATTAGGGGACATATATCAGTCTTCAGTAATAAGGATAGGTCTATCGACCTATATTAATCCTTGCAGTTTGTAATACTGTGGAGGTCCAACGTCGTTTTGAATATATTAATAGACGGGGCTGATATAACGTGTTCCGGTAGAGAATTCCAGTAATTCACTACTCGTTGCGAGAAACGGAACTCCAGACGTAAACGGTTTGATCTCGGTTTTTGAACTTTCTTCGAATGTCCTCTCAAATGATCGGTTCTAGACGGAAGCAAAAGATAAGACATGTTAATATCAAGGCCATCGTTCAGTATACGATAGGCCAATATTAGATCACCCGTATTCTACGGTAAGATAACGGAAATAAGTTAAGGTGTCTCAGTCTGTCTTCATAAGATAGGCCAGATAGACCTCGTACCATCTTAGTAACTCGTCGTTGGACTCTTTCTAGCATATCTGCTTCATACTTGAAACAAGGATACGCTGCTTGAATCCCGTATTCTAAATGTGGTCGCACATAAATCGGGTATAGTAATCTAAACATTTCACCATCTAAATACTGGAAAGACCTACGAATTGACCATAATACCCTATAGCCTTTTGCAGCAGCAGCCTTACAGTGACTAGTGGTTTTGAGATCATTGCTTAATATGACTCCTAAATCTTTATAGTTTCTTGCTTTGGGTAGCACGAATCCACGTGGTGTATAGTCATACGATTCATCAGAGTTATTTAACTGCATCACTACCCTCTTATTAGGATTTACTTCTAGTGACCACCTGTCTAACCATGCCACCAATGAGCTACGATCGTCCTGTAATACTATTCTATCCGACATACTATGTATAGGTCTCCAAACCTTTATGTCATCAGCGAAGAGTAGAACGGATGATTTTGCTACAGTTGGCAACTCCTCTTTTTGTACTCCATTTATGTTTGGCATCATTGTTACCTTCTTTAGCTGTTTCAAAGTTCAAGATCAATTTCGATTTTGGTAACTTTTCCGGTGAGACTAATTTATTGACGATCTTTGAGTGACTCTGGACTGACCTTGAGAGTGACCACTAAATAATCACGACCAAGTGAGTGTTATAAACCAGTGTGAGGAATTATAATTTACAGTTGATGATTAAGGTTAGGGATTAGGTTTCGGGTTTTCATCACGAACTGACATCAGCTATGATGCCAAAACTATTTATCCAAATGGATAGGTGAATTTCGCGCCAAAATCCCAGATCTATTATCTTATACGTGATTGGTTTGTCCATAAATTATAGTCTCTCCGCTCTTCCATTTAATTCAGAATACCTCTATCAAAACAAGTTCATCTTTTGGGGCTGTAAGACTGTGTCAAAACTAGCATTGATTACTCCTTTAAGGGCTACTTGACAAATTCCATCGAGTCTTCTACTAAGCCATACGAGTCTCAGAATCTCCATGCTTAATTCATATCCTCTCCCGATACAGCTCAGTTCAGTAGCCATCGTCTTCATTTTCCCACCTCTAACCTGTAATCTCACTATCTTATATAGTCTCTTTTTACACTGAAAACATTTTCCGGAGTATCTAAAATACAGAGTACGGGATAAATGTTCCTTTAAACGATCTTACTATTGGTTTCAAGTGACAGTTCACTTCTAGATAATACACATGGGTGAGAGTTAAAGTTATCAAGTTTTCACTTAATAAACTACTTATGTGATGCATTTTCCAAGTGTTCATGCAATAGCACTATTTCTAAAATATATGGTTAAATATTTTCTTCATTTACTTTTCTTCAGATCATAGTATTATAATAGTATTCAAAGGGATTTCGATGATCTGTAAGTGAAAACATCCATCTTATCAACTACCATCTTTAAGTCCCGATAGATAACTCCATCATGAAAATCTGAGTTTATCAAAATTTGGGAAAATTGTAGCTTCATTGCTTAATTCTCCTGAGTAAAATGCAATCTCGAAGTCGTCCTCAAAGCAACCTCAAAAGTAACTGACATTTTTTTTAACGAGTTAAGACTTTGGTCTAGATGACTCGCGAAATAGGTTTCAAATAGAACTGGAATTTGTCCAATGTCTTGCGAATCCTAACTATCTAAATTGTATGTTTATGTTTTCTTATTATCCCTAGTTCTTGCACAGCAAGGTTGGTTTGAAAAGCCAAATTTCATAAAGTATTTGAAGTATTTACTGTATTGGAAGGACCCTGCATACTCAAGATATCTCATGTAAGTTAACTCAAGTTTGACTCAAATACCATATTTCATGATTATCTATAGAGTGAAATTAAAAAATACAATCTTCCTAAACGTTGTCATGACTAAAAGTGTATCTTCATAACCTTATGTATTGACTAAGCATTTACTTCTGTCGCCCACCTGTTGGCTCGCCATTTTGCCATATATACATATATATATATATATATATATATATATATATCAACCTTTATTCTCGAGGTGGGAACTTTTTCGAAGCTACAAGCTTGTTTCAGCATGTCATGAGTGTGACTAATGCTTATGTCTGCTTTCCTATGGGCGGATCAGTGCTATGTGCAGTCAATCTGTCTACATAAACTATCATGTGGTAAATTTATTGACTAGCTTAACATAAGATGAGCTTAACACACATAAGAACCTCGTGAGCATCTAAAAATGTACTTCAGAAAACCATCGGTTTGGTACAAATATATGTTATTCGTAAAATCCTTTTGTATCCAAGTCAAGTCGCAAACCTTGATGTTAAATCTAAAGGGTTTTGAAAAAAGTCAGATTTCGTGCAGGGAAACAGCTCAGTATGTTTTTGATAAACCAGTTTTTAGCAATTACGATTTACTGAAGCGTTGTCACGTAAATGTCTCTATAAATAACCATGCGAACTGACAGTTCTATCAATAATAATTTCGGTCTGAAGTCGCACTGTGCTACTAATGAGTAGTGGAACTATAGCGTATAGTAAATAGTTTATCAATTCAGGTTTTTAACCACGTAAAATATATTCTCCTTTCATTTCTAGTTATCCGTATTGTCTTCACCTGCTTGATCTTTTGCAACATGCGGAATTTCGCTCTGCTCTTGCACGAGGTCAGATATGCCGAATGATCGATGATCAAATTCTTCTTCACTGGCAGCACTATATGCGTAAGCGTGCAGCTCTTATAGCTAAACACGTTGAAGAAACTATACAACCCACTTAACTTCACGTCTGAGCTATGGAATGTGCTAAGTCGTTCATAAATTGATTTTCATTTTCAGACTTGTGTTTTTCTTTCTGGAGATGTCTTTTTGCCATCATATCAGGCGTTTACTAAACACTGAGCTCTTTGTTTGGTCTCATTGTACTTGGATTTTTTTACGAAATAAGATTTTGTTGACAAAGTAAACCAAGATCATGTAAATTCATTTCAGTGCATTGGCTTTAATCGATTTCTGTTAAATTTCTAATATTTGATTTATTTTGCTCAACTCTTTATATTAAGTTACTCTTCTTGAAATTAAGTATATATTTGATATTAGCCTCCCAGATGGAACCTGCAGTTTTACTCTGAACACTTCGAACTGACTGTTGGGATAGTTCGCGTACACCGTAGGCGCATTTAGTTCTGGTGTCTGTTGGAGTGCTTAATAATTGTACTGTTTACTTGTCTCAATTCCAACATAGGGCAATTATCTATGCCGAGACCTAATTGCATTTCAAACAAAAAATTGTTTTTAACTTCAGCGAATAATTGATTATCGTATGCTGAACTTATGCTAATTGTTGTTAGCAGTCTAATGTAGTACTGTTCTTTTAACTCCACTTATGCAAATAGATGTTTGAATACCGACGTCTAATCACCGCGTAAACCCTTAATCAGTGTACCTATAATTTGTTAGCATTTCTCATTATCCCTGTCCTATACTCAATAAGACGTTTCATTGTCTCTTATTTCTACCCTTATGAGTCTAATTATTCACTTCTAAAAATAGTTTTTTTGGGAAATCATAGCGTTGTACATTATGGTCAGTCTACGTCGAAGTAGGAGAAAATGATAAATTGAAGCGGAACGACGATCTATTTTAATTTTAAGGTATACAAGCATTGTTCATGAAATCAAGAAAATGCAATTGGAAGATAGGGTATATAATACTAGTTCTCCGTTATTAAGTATCGATATAATCATACTACAAATAGGCGCCCGGGACATTTGCTTTTAGCAAATGTCATTGAAATTACAAATTTTCTGTGTGATCGCATTCAGAATATTACGCTGGTGTTCTACTAGCTATTTATCAAAACGCGACTATCAAATAAGCTCATTTAACTAATACTCATGCAAATAAATTTTGCATATTAATGATATGGCTTGTGCGTAGCGTTACAAAAGAATAAGATTGATTTATATTTAGAATGTTCTTAACCTTTAACCGTTATTGTAGAACAGCTTATGGTTAAAGCGGAGAGGTCATAGTATCGGTACATTTTGATAAGGAATACCACCGGGTACAATTATTACTGAAGGGATTTGTTAATTTTCATACTAATCTAAGTGACTGACATGTTTCAAGTCTCTTCACCATATTCTTTAGTTGTTGTTTAATAAAAAATGAAAACAAACTGCATTGGGACTATAATTACACTAGCAATTACCAAGTATGTTAAAAAATTTCAAAGGAATATTGATTATTAACCATCCGACTTAGTTTATTATTCGTCAACTTCACTAACCCTACTTAAGTATACCACGTTCAGTTAGATGGATGCAATAGTAGCTAAGGTCAAATCACAAGTTAGAAGTTCTGAGCTTAGATGTAGGAGATAATACTTTAGGAGCATTAATGTTTGAACTAATAAGAACGCAATATATGGCTGAGATGATACTACTAGGCTTTTGTTTTGAAGAATAAATTATAGGGCAGGACTTCACCTGATAATGCGAGATATAGATAAATATTTGTTTTGGTTGGTTTCATTTCAGTTCCCTTCCTTACATCCGTTTAGGATACTTGAAAATTGAGTGGTAATTATTGTACACAAATTCCTTAAAGTACTCATGTGTTTACTAGGTAAGTAATTTACTTTTTTGAACGACTATTAGTTATGCTGGACTGGTATGGCTCATGATTCCTTTAACTTCTTTTAAGCATTCGATTGTGTTTACCATATTCAATGCAGAAATAAGCTGTCCTTTATGTTGATCAGTGAGGAAAAGATAGACTACATTTTTGCTAATGAATCTAACAGTACTCTATCAGCTATAACCACGATTATCTGATTGCTTAACTCATTTAAGAAAAAAGCTTTATAAGAATAAGCAGTTGGATATCAGTACTGACCGTTAATTATTATTTGAAACATTTCACCAAACAAAAATACGCACGGTTGTATTTATATTTTTACTAAGTAAGATGTCAATTTGCAAGTAATCTGCCATATTTTAGCTCAAGAATGCATGAATTCTGAATAAAGTCTTCGTTACTATCAATCTTTTTACTGTCTATAATCATACGTTGTGACCAACTGTTACTTTCTGTAAGTTCCCCAATAACTGTTGTTCCACAGATATAGTTAAATCAACTGTTGTGGCGGCTGTTTCACGATATAATGTTGTCCAATTTGCTTGGTTATTCACTACGTTAGTTGCATTCGGGGCTGAACCAATAGCACCACAACCACGTAGTCCATGTATAAATACACTTGGTCTCGGTACTTGTGTGTAACCATCCTTTTTGGTTGCTGTACTAGTTTCTCTGAAATTTGAAAAGAATTGAAGACTGACTACATTTCAAAATGAATAGACTAGTACCTCATCTTTTTTATAGAAGGGTATGGATCTAGTTAAAGTCATTATGGCGTTACGACAAAACTTTTAGCAAACTTAGCTTTTACCTATGTGCAACTCGTTTCTTTAAAACATGCACTAGTAAACAGTCTAAGTTGTCTAGAGCTTTGGTTTATGTAACTCATCTAAAATATCTTAACCTAGTTACATTAGATTAGAATAGTGAACTTTCGGTAGAACGTAACGGATAGAATTTATACTGTTTCAGAAAAAAAATATTTTTAGTAATATTTCGCTACGTACATACAATTTCAAGACACCAAAATTTTCCAAGAAAAAATAGTCTTACATGTTAAACCTAAGTGTACGAAGTGTGTTCTCAACGTATGTTACCCTACAAGTCATTCTTACGACTTTACCATCCGAAGTTCGTGAAGATTGAGCAACTGGATGTTCTGTCTTACTAATATTGGAAAAGTTAGAGATACTGCGCTTTAATCAAAGTAACACGAAGTAATATAGCACCTCACACTTAAGTCTGTTAACGTTTAATCTTGTCAATCCCTTCAGTTAACTTATTTAAAAGACAGTTTCATTCGAACAATAACCAGTTGTCTATATCTTTGTAATATTATTATCATGTCCATATGAACATATGTAATTGATCACGTCCTATATATATATATATATATATATATATATATATATATATATATATATAATCTTATCAATTCATTCGCCTCCGTATTTGCTAGTTCGTATTTTCATTTCTACTCGGACCCGCTTTGTGTGCTTGTGGCTTAGTGATTTGCGATGTACAAATTGCAGTCAACGATTCATATCGTCTCCAGGAATTTATAAATCGTTGGGAGCTACCTAGTAACGATTATCAGGATGTGTGATATACGAAGCCTTAGGAGTTATCTCTAAGACAATTCACTACGGCAGTTTTTACCTGCTACTTTTGGTTTTTAATTCGAAAATTACTGATCAACAATATTCTAAAATAATTGATATTTATAGAAAGAATAGTCCTCGTGTAATGTAAAAACAAGTTATTTTTGACAAAATGAAACTGAAAAATCACAAACCCAGTCAAAATTCGGTGTCATACATTATTTTAAATTGACCTGATAGTGAGAAACTTTATTTTTGTCAGGTAATTCCGAAAAATATAATGTCCACTATAAGACCCAAACATTCTGAATATGGTCTTATATTCGATCCTGGTTGTTCACTAATGAACGAACGTTGGGGTAAGTTGGTCCAACTACTCATTGCCAGCTGTGTATCAACAGTTCTCTAGTTGATACGACCAGTGCTATATGAAAATGAACGTTGAATTTTAATGACTTTTACAGCCCTCTTTCATCTTAATAAGTTAAACTGCAGTCAGCCAAAATAAAGAAATGTTCTCTTTGTATTAAATCTTACTTCATCGGATAAACTTGAGTTGCATTGTCTCTTCTCCAATTGCTTAAAATTGTTTGAACAGAAGCTGTGGCCTTTTTTCTTAAATTTACCTACTTGTCATAAAGAAAAAATAAACTAAGCATAGAGCATAACATTACTAGAACCAATTAGTATACGGGTATTTCCGTATATTCGGCCAAAAAACCTAGTACAATTTAGGTAAAGTTGTTATTATTTTAGAACAAGTCACATAAAACTCGGGTTTATATGTTAACTAACAGTTTCCCTTCATAACATCGATGATTTCTTTATAACACATTTTCTGGAAAAGGTAAGCGAATTAGAAAGTAGCTGGTTAAGTTTTTGAATATTGAGTTTACTTTGATGAGTAAGCATTCTATATTTACATTTGCAATTCTTATGAATATATATTCATATAGCAACAATTAAAAAGATAAAATGAAAGTTGTATAGGCTCGAAATTTATAAAAGAATAAATGCCGAGTAAGTTTCTCCTTAAAATACTTTCAAAATAATCAGACCCTGAGTTTTGAGTATTTATCAATAACTTCACCGACTATTCCTGAGAACTACAGATATTGAATGCTATGATTTTGTATAAGATGTAGGGTGTGTAGTATGAATCCCGAAACTAAGTAAAACAAATGTAATATACTTGCTTACGAACCAACTATTTCTATAAATATGCGGAGAACTATTAAGTTGAAAGAAAAACTACTACTTCGAAAATTTCGCACGTGTTTTACTTAAAGTCAGTGGGAGTTAAGTGAATTACAAAAGTATGTTGGAGTGATTGTCTAACGATGAAAAAATGATGAAGAGTAGTGGTGATTTACTTATCGTGCGAAAGAAATTCAAATATAACCTTACTGGTAAAAGTATATTGCACTGACGACCTTGAGCGACTTATCAGCCAATCAGGAGGCAGTGTTTGGTTATAGAACGATTAACACTGGGATAAATACTTTGGTACGAATAATTAACTCATATGTCGGATTATTGTTTATAATGGCAGAAGTGCTTAAGTTTACATAGTATACGTCAGACTAGTGTTATGGAGTCGGGTATCAATCCCTTCGTGTTTTCGTCACCAACTGACATCAGCTTTACTGCAAAAAGGTTAGGTGTTATGAGTTTAGTTACGATTATAAGTTAGAGTTAGGGTTTTCATCACGAACTGACATCACCGATAATGCAATGCCCTGTCACTACTCTCTTTACAAACCTAGGAAATTATGGGTTGATATTTAGAGTAAGATTTAGGGAGGGGAAATATCCATTAGCTTCACGAAAAACTTCTGACTATGTATTGGGTCACATAAAGTACTTTAACGTTCAACATGCCCTAGAGGCAGATGTGCTTCGTAATTTAGCATAAGTGTCATCTAAGATTCACTTCGGTTGAACAAAAGATTTTTTATTGATTACAAGCATATTAAGAAACAATTATTGCCGATTTTCACCTAATTGATGACGTAATTTAAGGCAGGTAAAACTATATGAGTACAAATGAACGTATTGCATTTGGAATTCGTAATCAGCGGGCGATGGAGTGCAAAGAAATCATTATTTCGTACAAATATCACAATTTTCATAAGGCATTATCCTAAATACTTCAATGAAATACTTAAATTCACGGTTCCTTACCAACTTTAAAGCATTTTTCCTCAGTTCCCACTCATTCCAATAATAGTTTTTATCAATATACGTTTCTATTGGGTGCACTACTGTTTGGACACCACAGTCGACCTTAGGACTTGTATTTTCATGAAATTGACCATTCTGAAATAAAAATGGTAATGGATTATTTTTAATACCATAAGTCATTTTGATGTGTTTTAAATTACGAAACCAGTCCATCCATACAGTAACTTCCAATTTATCTGATATCATATACTCATTATTGCTTTTGGTCAATAAGTTCCTATATGAATAAATTAAATTCAAGCATAGGAACACAATAGCAGTCGTGTTATAAAGTCCATCAGGATCTTGAAGTATTAATTAAGAATTAGACTTTGATTCGCGTTAGAGATTCTGTGGAAAATGCTACTCATTGTTTGACGAACATTCACTTAATTAGGTGGTAGGAACTAAAGTGTTAAGAATTCATGCATAAACTACCTCAGAAATCTAGTAACCACATATTTTTCCCAAAAACAAGTATCAATATGTTGTAGTCTTCTATATTTGTAATACATCTTGGCGGCCACTATATCACCACTGTGAATAAACCACTCAGTGTTGGTTAAATATTTTACCTGTCTTTGTCTGCTTAGAATTGGTTGACAAAACTGTCGGCCTTCATCTACTGAGGTGGTGGAGGCATGAGTTATGAAGTCCAATCTACCTGGATATACAATCAAGGATTTTATATGAGTAAATTTTAGAAATTCTAGAAGCGATCAGCTCGAGATAGGACAAAGCTCTATGAAGACACTAACCGTTCCGGGGCGTATCACGAGGTACAGAATTATTGATTGGGACTTGAAATGTTTTCGAAATGTTTTAGGATATTAGGTGATATGAGTCGATATCTAAATTTTGAGCTTCGTACCATCTAATAATGTCCATAATATTTCGATAAATCTCTTCCCCGGCGAACTATATTTCCTATGATTAATTCATTTATACCAGTGGTTAGACTTATGGCTGCTAATTATTTTAAGATTCCTACCTCAGTGTTGATTTGAGGTGTGAGATTATTTATAACTTAGAGACATATTTGGGTTAACCAATATTATTTGATCAATTATTAGTATAGGGGATTAAGGATATTGTCGGATCGCATAGTATACATTATGAACTGTTCTCAACTAGACAACCATTGAAAACCACGAAGGGCTGTAGAGTTGTGTCGTCTTAGCATAAGAACTCTCAACAGCGTATATCCATGATTACACTTGGATGCTGTTTGCTAATGCCTAAACTTCAAACAACTGAGCTAGTATCTATCTGTCTTCATGTCTCTTAATGGTGTTGTGTTTCTTCCAGGAATATATGACAGACACTACCTCTGTTAAAGTTCCAAGTTGCGCATAGTATATGACTCATTCGTAATAATTGAGGTCAAGTTGTAGATGCAAACAAAAATTATTGACTTCGATTTATAAAATCGTCTAGAACTATGGATTTTGGTCTAAAGTACGCCTACTAGTTAAAAAGACAATTGTCAGAAGGAATGCGTAGCTACTGTGGGAAATTACAAAGTATTTACACATACATAACTAGCCTTCAATCGTTCATTTTCACCTTTCGGTGTGTTTTGCTCGAGCTTTTCATTCCACCCGACAACTGTAGCAACTTCGGCTTCACATTCCGCTACACACTACTTACAAACAATCTTATGCGCAGCGTCCACCACACTACCATGAAACAAAGCAATTACATAAATACGATTTCCACAGCAATTTTATTAAAAATGTTATTCATTGTAAGATATTCTAAAGTTTGTGTAACAAATATTTTAAAGACTTACTGTATAAGAAATCCCTTTGGAGAAAAGGTAATTGAGCTTTAAAATTGGGATTAGTTCAGGTAAACGTCGTATAACTTCTGGTATAGCCTTCAAAATCTAGGAAGATAAATTTCAGGAATATGAAAAATACTTAAAATTAACCGCTTAATATCATTTGTCCAAATATTTTATTATAAAATTTATACATTATAAGATATGATTTACAATCTGTATAAAAAGAACTATCCATCTACTACAAGGCAACATGATGTGGAATTGTCTTATTGGCTGTCGGAGTATTACAATCCGCTTGGATTAACTTTAGAACTGATTTGCTAATGTGTTATTTTAAGTTTGTCATTACTTTCCTTTTCAATGTCCACTTAGTCAAATCTTCATTTTCTATATTCAATATTAACAATTCTACTATGAATTATTATTTGCACATAAACGCTGTCTAACAAGCTTTCTGTCTATTTCACAATGAGACATCCGATGAAGAATAACTATTTTTAACATAATTCAATGAACATTAAAAATTCCCATGGAACATTCAAAAAACGAAGGATATATAAGAGGACAATAGTTTACAATAACTAACGGTATGTTAGGTCATTAATTGGGTGCGTTAGATTTCAAGTGATGGAATTCGTACTAACCTTATCTGACTCCAGTAAAGTTGATAATAATAAAATGTATATTCCCACTGATTTTGTTTATATCCTCTGTTTTCCTCGTTAATAACAATCGGAAATAAAAATTTAAATACGAGTAATGTCGTGTATATATTATGCATACGGTTTGTCAGAAAGACGGTACAAATGAGTAGTCATAACCTCGAGGTTTATCGTTAAAGATAAAGAGGAAAAACCATCGTCATTTAAATATCAACTGTCAATTATGATATCTTGAATAACAGTATAATGTATACATATATAATATATACTCTCATTTAACACTCACTTTTCAGTTTCCATCACAAATTCTTTTGCTGCTTCAGGTGTGCTAAATGCATACATTTTATTATCTGGAGGTAAGAGCAAAACTCCCATATGAATATCAGCTGGTACTAGTAGACCTTGATAACGTACTAATGACCAGATGCAAAATCCCTGTAAATATTTATTAATTAATATAAAATATTTATAAATGATGGCACTTAACTAATATTTAATTATAAAAGCAAGTAAAGATTAAACAAGTCTAAATTCTACTAACAGTTATTCGTCTAATATTACAAATTGTAAAGGAAGCTCTCTTGATGGTCATGATCTGCTTTCAAGCATTTACTGTTGTTCAATGAGTATTGTGATATAGACAAATTTTGATACTTGATCAGCTGGAAAGTCGTTAGTAAGTAAGAATTATTGATATTCTAAGTGTTAGGAAATTGCTAAAAGGTTCGGATTAAGAGTAATCTATGATTAACTAATACATTTTTTACATGTGAAAATTATATTTGAAATAATCTCAGCGATTGAAATTTTAATAACTTCGACGTTTCGTCCAGCTAACTTGTCTGGACTTCTTCAGGGTAATTTCAATCGCTGAGATACTTTCAAATATAATTTTCACATATGATGACTTCTCTTTACTCGGCGCCCAATTTCTGTCAAACTCTTCGTTCTAATCTTGACGAATATTCGTATATAATACATTTTTATTTTATGGTGTAGTATTCATGTTTGGTAAAACATGTATTCTGGGATCTGCTACATATATGAAAATATTTTGAAGTTGTTTAAGAATTTGTGTTCATAATGATCTATCACGAAATTTGATTTAGGCAGGTGTCATATAAACATCTCAATGTAAGAATTCTAGAGTTCGGACTGAGTGTTGAAATCAGTCTATGAAGTTTAAACGTCTCATAAAATATAATTTAATTCGATTTCTACTTTTACATGAGTGTGTTGTATCTGTAACCTAACGGGTATCTGAGTTACATCGAACTGATCAAAGAATAGTCACGAAGCTATCTTTACAGTAAACAATACATTTAATTGGTGTTATAAGCATATCAACTGACTTGATTTCTATATCTTATGCTAATATTTTCTAAGTCTCTTGCTTTTAAATACCCATACAACTCGATGATGATCAGCTTAAATTATCGCTCGTTCAGTACCTATGGCAATTTAAGTCTCTGCATAGAATTTGATGGCCACGTAGCATACAGTATTACTTCGTCAATAGGAACACAAAAATCACTTTCTTACCAGATATACAGTGAGTATAAAAAAGTGTCCTAACGTACCTCGGCTTAGTATTAAAGTGTATCAGAGAGTGATAATACTTAGAAACTAAGTTATGTAAGCCGAAAACAACTCCTTTCATCCACTTTAATTGAAATATATCTGAAATTTCTCTAAAAGACAGTACTAATGTTAATTAATCAGATTATTAAGGATTTATTTGGGAAATTTACTTCATCAGTGCTAAAAGGTAATATAATAATAGGAAAAATTATTTATTTACTGTTAACTTATTTATTAAATTAGCATATAATTATGTAATAAACGAGCAAAACTCTCAAGAATACTTACTTCGCACTCAATATTAAGATTAATCTCTTCTGAAGAAGAATGTGGGAATACACACTGATGTCCACCACAGTATTCTTCACTTAATGGGTCATGATGCTAAAATAAAATAGTGTAAAATAATATTAAAGTTGTAAATCAAGTACATTAAAATCTCACTTAGGTATACTGAAAAAAGAACAATTTAGTAATTATGTATTTTGACTATATTTTTAGTAATAATCAGTTGTGTTATTCACAACGAGCATTTTATATAATGTATGTAAATTCAGCCATGTTTTAACTGTATTTAATCTATTATATAAAATGCACAACTTCTACTAATAGATCGCTAATCACTAAATCATTCACTCACCGGTGCTACCCTCCCCCTATTTGCAGGATAAGAGTTCTAATTGAAGTGTTTCTGTTCCTGAATGAAGTGAGAGCATCAAAAAGTCAGCTGGAATTTTTGTCGTCACTTTAAAGGATTACTAGAATGAAAATATTCAATGACTAAAGTCTTTTATTTATTATCAACATGTATTTTTCCCTATTGTTAGTGATTTACTATGTGATTACTTCATATTGCAGTGATTTTATAAACGATTATTATGAATAAAGTTTCATAAAACTGCAGTAAGAGCTATTCATACATAATACTGCTTAATACATAAAACTTATGATTATAACGGTCAACAAATGAATTAGAAACAATGGTAGATTACATAGATATCGTAAGATAAGGGTTTCAGTACCACAATTGTGCAAGCAAGATGCTTTCTAACGAAGTGAGTAATAATCTCAAAAGCGTTCATTTTTACAAAGATATAAAGACTATTCGCTTCTGAGTGATAAAACGTTCGAAATTTAATTCTAAAGTGTTTATTTAGTACTTAAAAATATTTCGTCATATTGGGAAAACCTTTTACCCCATAAAATCCTAAATGTATTCTTTTATATCACTTCACATTATATTGCCTAGAATTGTTTTAGGCTAAATGCGAAAATTTAAGCTGTCATAATAACATAATTGGTACAAGAGTAGTTCATGTTTCATTATGCTTCTTACACTTAACCGAAGAATGTTACAATCTAGAATAATCAAATTAATCAAACACAATCATACTAACAAGGGTGCTTTCAGTACATGTTGCTTTGTGTTTCATCAATAGCTGATCGAATAAAAACAAATCATAATTTATATGTTTTCAAAACAAAATCATATAAGTTAGAGTTACTCTATAATAAATTAAGCTAGAAGTGATAGTATACTGTTTTGTAAAACAATTATTAGTGCTTAGATTTTGGGAGCCTTATAATTTATTAGATTGACTTCTACTTCAGACTAACTGATTTGTTTAATAAGTCTATCTGAAAACATTGCGTATATGATACGGAAACCGATGCTGAATTGATTCTGAAATAACAGATGATAAACGGTCTCACTTAATAAAGTTATAAAATATTATTTTCAACTTACCTTACGATCTTCGTCGAATATAACTTCCTTATTTGAGATAAAATTATACATTTGTTCTTTGGTCCATTTCAACTGACGTCCAACAAAATATGTTTGTAAGGTATTTAAAGTACTGGTTAATACTGATAAGAAAACCATTTCATCTTGAAAACTTGTCCAATAATTAGCAAGCTGTAGGAATCCAGGCTAATGTTTAGGAACGTATAAATTCATTCATTACAAAGCTATATATATCAGTTTACCTATTAACTTTATATATATTAAAACAATGATCAGCATATAGATAAATGATAATGAGATAGAAGTAATTCAATGAATATCTTACATAAACTTCGTTACTTGGAACGGCTGGCCGATCACTTATTAGAATATGCAATTTTTTCATACAACTTTTAAAGTTATCAATTATTTTCTCTATGTCTTTCAACATTTGATTAAGCTCGCATTCAATAATTCTTAGAAATTTTCCATACTGTCTAGCATTGACTACGGAAGCTCGCAAGTGTTCCGGTGTAATATTCATCTCCTTAGCAGACTTTATTAAAGCTTTAACATCAGTAGTTGGGTCAATAGTAGATAGTTTCAAGAAAAGACCTTTGAAAAGAAAGAAAGAAATATGCACCGACATAAAATGATAGATTGAAGTATCTGAATAATAAAGCGTTGTATAGATTTTTTGCATAGAACCTTAAATTATCCTTATACAAAAATTATATTTTTATTTAGTAACCAAGTTGATAATTCACCACTATTTCAGTTTGTATTTCAATAAATTTAGATATACTGGATAAACGTTTAAACTCAATATATGTCAGCTCAACAATTTATGACCATTTATAAATAAAATTATACGATAGCGATTTATGTAATCAAAAGCTGAATTGATAGATTTTAACGATCTGTTTCAGAAAGCATAATTTTTCAGACTGGATATTTGATAAGTGGATATCGTTTGAAGTCATCATTCACTATTGTAAACACAATAATCAAACATTATTATTTAGTTAGCAAAGTTATTTTAGAGTGGCAGCCTGAACACATTTCAATTATGCCAACATATTATTTATTTCTGTTGCTAAATAGTGTAAGTAGGTTGTTTTATACTAATAAGGCATAATGAACTTTATAAATCCTGTACAAAATGACCATATACTGATACTTTTAATTCAATGTTTAACCTAAATATACTACTCAGTCAGAACTACTAGTGTATTTCTCTTTGAACACGATTTATTATATACATACGGAATATTAAATTACAACGGATGAAGAACTTGATACAATTATGATGTAACTTGTCACAGTAACCCTTCTTAATTGATAAACCAATATGAAAAGCCAGGCGGAATAGTTTCGAAAAAACTTCTTTATAAATTCATTTTATTAGTATTATTTCCCTGTGTACTTTGTTGTATTCACTTATATGGCTATCATATTTTATCAATGTATAGATAGCATCTTAAGTGCTTTTGCCAACTTACGTCGGTGAAGGCGAGGTATCCGTCTATCAATAAAAGGACCAGTATATTGCGCAGCAGTTCTGTACTATTTGACGGCTGCGAAACGTGGCCTTTAAGAGTAGAGGATACTCGTAAGCTACAAGTATTTGACCACAGATGCCTTAGAAATATTTCTGGCGTCTGCTGGGATTACCGTGTAAGTAATAGTGAGGTTAGACGTAGGGTATTGGGGAATGATGGTAAATCAGTTGATGAGATTGTGAGTCTTCATCGACTGAGATGGTTGGGCCACGTGTTACGCATGCCTTAACACCGATTACCACGACGTGCAATGCTAACCGGTGTTGGAGATGGTTGGAAGAAAGTTAGTGGCGGCCAAACCAAAACCTGGCATCAGTGCTTGAAGTCACTAACTTCTAGTCTGAGCCATGTTGGTAGATGCAGACTACTTGGTTGGGGTCCGCGTGACTATCGTAACTACTGGTTGGAGACTCTTGGTGACATGGCTCAGAATCGATCACAATGGCGTCGGTGTATACACTCCCTGTCTTCCCTTAAACTAAGAGATTAAAATCGCTTCATATCTTTCTTTCTACGAATTAATTCTTTCTTCCTGTACTATATCGTTATTGCAATCTTTTTTTTATGTATTATCACAACTGAATTAACTACTTTTATGAATCTGATATTCATCTTGTGTCAATGAGGTATGGCAACTTGGACCGATGCATATATGTGCCTGGTCCTACGTTGTAGTTGACTGACTGACTGATAGATAGCATCAATAAATGGGATCAATGGACCTGCTTTATTTTTTAAATCAGTTCAAGTAGATAAATTTAAAATCCTGTGATTTCATTCTTCAGTATAAAAGGATGTAAAAGCTAATTAATTCTAGTGGATTGCCGCCTAAATGCATCTAATTAAAATTTAGCTTACAGTGAATATAGGAATATGATACAAAGCGTAAGAGCAGAAATTGAAAGCGATATTTAACTGTATTGTCTTTCTGATGTCCTATGAAACTCTCATTTTACAACTGTCTATATTTTAAATAGATTCAATAATTATAATTTCTCTCCTTGCTCTTTTTATGTAAACATGTCAATTTATTAGGCTTTACACTGTTTCTCGATAACACTTGACTTGTAGACTCAGAGCATTAATTCGATCCTGTGAACAATTGTCAACAAGATACATCGTACAGTTGAGCATCATCTATCAATCATCATTATATTCATTATTATTAAAATTCCAGATATACAACAAGCCATCTATTGAATACTATCAAAAACGAAATCCTAAATACCAAAAAATACGTTAGTTTATCCAATAACAAATAATTGTTCTAAAGTCATTTATAAATGACACATACTTGTGTAAATAGCAGCAAGTTCATCTGATTTTTTAATTTCTTCATTGACTGTTTCTAGTGTTATGGGCACTCCTTCACTCAATAAATGCGGAACTGAATAAAATATATGTAAATAAAGCATATATTTGGCAATCATTTTGTAAAATATTAATTCACTATTAAATGAAACAATTTAGTTTTAGATATTTTAAATAATTAAACTGAAATATTACTTTTCAATAGTTGAGATCATGAGTCAGTTGAAGTTAGACCACCATAGAAAACCTGGAAACATTGGAAGACCGTTTCGTCCTATTGTGGGACTCCTCAGCAGTGCGCATCCAAGATTCCGCCTCGCGAGATTCGGACCCAGGGCCTATCGGTCTCGCGCGTGAACCCTTTACCTCCAGACCACTGAGCCGGCCGGCATCCAATGATGTTAATGTCTAACTTGAACTAATCCACGAAATTGAGCGACACATCCACTATTGTCATCAGTGAGCTACTATCTCACAAGAGACTCGGTTGAACTCCACTGGTCACTGCTTCTCACTAGAACTGCAGGAAATACCTTTTGAATCCAGTCACTAGCGAGCATATGTTGGTTAATATCAGAAGGGGTTTTTGTGGATATTTTGGTAATTTTAGTAATTGAGATCATGAATCATTTGAAGCTAGACCACTTTGGAAAACTTGAAAGTACTTTCAATGTATTTTGTGATGTTAGCTTTTGATATAAATTGTCTTCGAATTGAATAGATCTTCAGAAATCTTAAAACTAAATAATAATCGCACGTTTATAGCATTTTGTATTTTGAAGATTTTTTTTATCATGATTGAGTGTGATAATTCAGACTTCTTACAAACATTTTAAAATATCGTTAAACATTTTAAAGTTTATTTTTGAGTTCTAAAAAGTCAATAATTCCATGATTTCTCAAAGTTTCAATTATCCAGTTATTGTGAACATATTAAAACTCAGGAACTATAACATTTTTCACAACATTGATACCATGGTCATACTGTGGTGTATGCTACTGATATCGATAGATATAAGTAGCATGTATCATCAATCGTAAGTGAAATACCTGGCGGCAGTAGGTTAAGAAGATCGAAGAAAAGAGAACAAGAACAGAGAACCATTGGTGTGAAAATGAAGAAACATTCAGGTTTGAGACAATTAATTGACATTTTGCAAATGAAGTATTTACTGTATGATTCTCAGATTTCCCTAAGATGTACTGTAATTTTGTGTTCAATTGCATTCGATTATCCCCAATTGTGTTCTCGTTTACTACAATACCAATGTCATTTCTTTTAATTTTCTAAATATTATTTATTCTTACATTATCTCCTTATTGATATAAACGATCCTTATTTGATTCTTGGAAATATACTCGAGTGTTTGATATGTTATAATTCAGACAGAATTTTCATAAAGATCTATAATGTATAATTTGTTTATTTATATAGGGCGGATATTCAGAGTTTCGAAAATAAATTAAATATAACATCTTTAAATCAGAAGAATAATGTAAAACAAACTTTTCAAGAAATATAACTGAGGTCTTGATCTTGGATATTAGATTTTATTTTAGTTTATTTTTTAGTTCAGATAAGAATCATGATATAGAGTAAGTGGTAATAGGAAAGCAAGTATATTCTTTAAAATTTCTATGTATTACACCATCCAACTAAAGTCTAACTGATAAATTAGGCAAGATTATATCGATGAGTAGTTTTCAAAGGTTTCAATTATACACTGATTTACATTATACAAACAGATTTACTGATTTTACGTCACATTCATATGATAGATCTAGAATTAACATGAATATTTGTTCCTATATTAAGACAAGAACATGCTATAAGTTCGGCGGTCTATGCTCCATTGGGAGTTACAGGCGTAAGTAAGTAAGTATGATGTAAGTTGACATTATTGTGATTTTTGAGCCGATATAATCTCTGAAAAAAATAATATGCCATCCAAAGAAGCAACAACAAACCGAAGGTAATCTGCAAGATGAATTGTAATAACTACGACAATGCATGTGAACAACTGTGGATATGAATTTGACTGAGTAAACGTCCAAATATTGGACAGAGGAAATACAAAGAAAGCCAGAGAATTTTCAGATACCTGAGACTAGTAAACCACCAATCAACAGACATGTAGAAATTGTCCAAATTTATCAACCAGTAAGAAAAAAGGGTTAAAGTTGTAAGGATCGGAATCCAGGTCAGAAGGGAGGATAACCAAAATAAACATAAGCAACGACCACACATGTACGAATCAAAACCAATCACATTTCAGGTGATCAGGACAAACTGTCAGTCAATGGTGGAGAGATTCCAATAACTCACTTCTCTTTGAGGCAAGTGTTGATGATCTTTTTCAGAAGAACAATAAAAGTCTTCGAACCAACTCATCCAGCTCAGAGATAACAACAACTCCAATATCTTCATCCTGAGCTACAAATATTATCCATCATATACTAGAAGTACTTTAATCGCAATATTCATACTTTATTAAATCTTTAAACGTAAGTATATTAGCCGAAAAAGCCATTATTCAATTTCTTAACAATAAATCCAGACAATAAGAAATTGTAATTGACGGGGAATTTAACTTACGATCATCAATTCCAGCTCCTCCTTTATTACAATCTTTGTTATACAGACGTATACCAGTGACCAGACCAGTAAATTCATATAGTTGTTTTCTTTTTTGATTAGCATTGGCTGACAAAAAGCTTGCAATATCTGTTTGTGGAAATATACTTTGAAGTGCAGCTAATAAACGAGAGAACAGAGGCGCTTAAAATATAATATCTGAAATCCAAAGTAGATAGAAATCAAGATGGAGAGATATATAAATTTCTTTTGTACATAACATATACCAGATAAGGCTTTGTATTTATTCAATCAAATAACCACGAGACTAATAATCTCGTCTACCCATACTTTATAAGATGGACTGCTGTGTATAAATCCTACAAAATGCATTCGTCAGAAAGTCTTTCACCTAAGTTTGATGCACTATGGTTGTAGGAAGCAGTATCCTACAGATTCAACTCTAATCTAATCCCTAGACTGTCGAATACAAAGTCTTGGTTCAGCCAAAGTCAGAACAAGTAAGCAATTTGGCTCGATAAACTTTATCTGTTTTTAAAACGTAAATTAACACTGTTGGTGTACAAAACAAAAGTACAGTCTATAAGCACAGGGAAAAACGGAGACATAAATAACGTACCGAACAGTAGCTAGAGAGTAGGAAAAATGAGTCAACAAGGCAAATATTGTTTTATAATGAACATCGAATTGTGGTTGGTGAATAAATAGGACACAGTCATACAAAGTTAAGAAAAATTAGTGTAGTAGTGGGCGTTCCACTTTACTATTAGTTGGTTCGCTTGTCGATCACATTTTACAATGGTATTAACTACCGAAACTCAGTTAAAAATATCATTTTTCCCAAATGGAATAAAAATGCATATGGACGAAAATAGTCTTAATTTATCAAGCACTTTTATTAATAGGTTACAATAGTAGCTACTACTAAGCAGTGATTAATAGTTCAAACTATTTTACCTAACTTTTGTATTTATATTTCAAAAAAAGCACAATATTACTCTAAGTTCATATCGATTATATTACTGATCATGTTGGATTTCTCCAGAGATAGACAATCATCGGAAATACAAATCACCAATAACTGTGATTCTATCACCATTTTGCACAAATATCAATCGGTTGGATAAATAAAAGATAATTGAAATCTCCACAGAATTATTTCATTTATTAAATCATATTTGTGCGTGAAATCTAACTCAAAAGAACATTCAGAAACGCTATCTCATTCGATTTATCAATAAAGCAGATGTAACCGAATGACTCTACCATCGAATGAAACTAGTTCTGGTCTATTGAGATATTACAAACGTGAAGTAATGTGCGTTCATCCTATCAACCGCTTTACTTCATCGTAGTAACCCTCATTTGAATATTCAAGCTTAAACCATTATTTTGTAATTTGTTTGAAAAATATGTAAAATGACTGTCCTAACAATATCTTAGCGTCACTTATTTATCAGTTTGATGAATTTAAGAACTATCATCAATTAAAATGCATACTAATAATTGCAGGAGAAGGAAAAAAGCTTCAACCCGAAACATATAGCATCTTGAATCACCTAACAGCACATGCAGAGCATTAGTGATATGATCGATCACCCTAATAAGATATGCAAATATGTTTATTTGACGCTACACAGCACATAAATCCATCAATCGATAGGTATATTTGACGTTTTAGCAACAAAAGACGTAAACTTTGGAGAGTATCAGTTTAATGAAGGCTCTTTCACATACATGATTGGTGAGTTTATCGATAAGTAAAGTGATGTCATTCAGGGTAGATAACTTCCACCAGATTTATCCAAACTTTTCAGATATACAATTCTAGAAATAACTAACTTCGTATGACTCCCGGAGAACTAATTATCAGCCCACAAACCCTCTCACAATGGTGAGGTAGCCATATTTCTGCCTGTCACACACGTTACCGAAATGTTTAGTATTCGAGATGAGATACGTTTTTCCTTTTTCCCGCGGAATTGAAATTTTGCTTTGGAACTAATCTGCACCGGGGTTTGGTCCAACAACGCGAAGAAAAGTAGTCTGCTACATTCAGCACCTTGCCTAGAAGTTTCTTCACATTTGGCGAGCTGATAGATGAAAGACCTCAGCATAAATATAGTAAATTCAAATAAACCTCGATATTTCACATAATCAGTCAGGCGGACAAGACAAACGTTTGTATAAAAAACATTAGACATAATGCTTATCAGTTTGTTTCCCATTAGATGGCTGTGAAAGGTCATTTTGAAGCTGAAGAAATATGTTTTTATCACAACTCTATTCACACTATTGCATGCACGAGATAGGACCACTACTTGTGTTATGCTGAAACTAAGTACAGGACAATAGATGTATTTAATAAGCTGGATAATAAGTCTAAAAACACCACTGACTAAAATGGTTGGGATGTTAGGGATGTATACTCACTAAAAACCCTGGCGAACAAACCTGTCCAGCATACGCGTATGTCTAAAATATTGAAGGCTGGGTTTAAACGCATACTTTCATCTTAGATTTTTTATTTTAATTAGTAATATTTCCGGTTCATTTGGCTATTCAATTAGTTAATTTTCCCTCACTCTGTAACGATATAAAATGTAGAAATTTTAACTCATGGACATTTGTGCTAGATCCTAGGTTGTTTATGAATTGTTGACCTAAACGCGTTGTATAGCATAACATTGCATTAGTTAGAGAGAGATTTGCCCTCCGAGTTTCGTACTTTCGAAGTTCCACTAGACTTGTTAGGTCACTTCATTGGTATAGATTTCTAAACTCAGAGTGATGAAGTTTGAAAATACCCGTATGTCCACAAATATTAGTGGATTCGCATGTGACTAGAGGATCTTTGAATTCATTGCATAGCTCATTGATAAATAAGATTATATGTGTTATTTAATATAAAAAGAGAGTTATAAAACCAAAGTTCATGTGCTAGAATGAAAAACCACAATTTTCAGTCTCAACTACCTGCTAGTTTATAGTTTAAAAGAAAAGGCAAACTTTCATCGGCTCACCTGTAGTTTCTCTGATAACATCCATATTTGTTGGAGATCCAAGACCCGACCTTAATAATAAAGCTGATATAATATTTTGATAAGTAGCCTCTAGTTCCTCCCGTAATTTTGCTCGACTCTCTATAACTTCACGTAATACAGGTTCTAAACGCTTTTCCAGTACGCGATGATGCTCGTTTAGGAATTCATCTGGAAATTATTTGGCAGTTATATTGGAATAATTTGAGCAAAGATATAGGTACGTGATTACTTTTAGGGTTCGTATGACACACCAACGCTAAAATGAATCTAGCGTTCAATTGAATGACGTTACATAAACGTTTCATATATATTTGAATGAGTACTCGAGAAGAGATAAAATAATGTTCGTTTTTACCCGGTGATGGATCAAATTAATCAAACTATTCTGGAGAGGTCGGTCTCAGTGGAGATTTATCTAGCCACAACGCCAAGTTACTCTGCTTCAAGTCATTAAAAAATAATTCGCCTCCCCAATGTCTCTTTGATCAGTGTAATATGGAACGAAATCGTGCCAGAAATTTGTATTGGATAACATTTATTCACCTTATATAATCGACTTACAAATAAATGGTCCTTAATCCTAGGTTTCAGAACACTTGAAGTAATCATATTTTACACTATTAAGGATTAAAATAAAGGATTACCAAACAGGTCTTGAGCTTTTGCGACAGATATGGGCTAACTCGTGGAAAGCTAAAGTTAATGATGTACATAATTAGTGTAGTTGTCGCACAGTGAACATCTGTAATTGTTAATTAACTTTGTGTGCTGTCCTATCTTATTTTACGCAATCCTAATTACAATAAATTTTCACGTCGATTTTTCGTAATTAACTGTATTTAGCTTTCTTAATAATGAGTTTTGACAATAAAATAGGATCAATTATGCTGGTAAAATGTGTAATTGTGACATTATAAGGATACTTTGCATAACATAATTTGTCAAGTGAATTACAATATACAGTTTACGTATTTGATACTCTTAGAGAAAAGTGGATTATAAACCAGAAATAATACATATTTTTTGCATCTGTCATTTTTAGAAAGGTGGTCTTTAGTAGAGCATAAATCAATGCACAAAAGAATGTTCACACTAGTGTTTAATTGCTAAAAAAGTAGACTTCATTGTCCATTTATTATATGAATCACTATGTCTACAAAAGAAGTGTATAACAAAATAACCCCTGAGACGTCAGATTTTAATTATTCCAAAAACAAAGCAGATAAACGAGTAATTCTTCCCATATTTTCCTTCCACGTCAAAGCATGCATCAGAATGCATTAAAAATATAAAGTTTTGCTGATTTCTCTAGATTTAAAAATTCATTTCCACTTTTTAAGAGGACTCTTTAAGAATGTAACCTAAAACTTCAGAGCCATTAATCCAATGTTTGTGCTCATATGTATATTGAAAGATGAAATTTCAAGTGAACGACCTAGTGATTCACCACTGATCCCATGACAGTCATGTATGACTGATGTTGAAGAAGTTAGTGTCATGTAATTGATGTTAGGTTAACCGAGGTCATAAAATCATCAAAATCTTGCGATTTGTAACCAGTGTAAATAAACCAAAAGTTTTATAAAACAAAAGTCGATATTAACTCACCTTTTTTGAGATGATTTATTTCGAAGAATACTTGCATTTTTATTGTATCAACAGATGGTGATTCTTGATCAGTTACCCTGTTCACACATAACTAAACCGAATGATGGATTATAGATCGAGTTACTTCAATCAGTTTCTTTATATCCTCATTATCCAGTGGTTTATCGGGTAGAAATCCAGAAGCAGGATCAAGAACAACTGCTTTGACCTAGAAAATCGTTACGTCGTTGTTGAAATTCATTCACTCAATACAATAAACGCCACAAGGGTCTCAGAGACGTCATGTCCTCTTGAAATACATTGTTGTATTATTTGTTTAATTATTCTAGTAATAACACCCTCAGCTTGAACGTTTGTCATTACTGTTATTTAAATAATTTCGTATAAACAAGCACTATAGCAAATACGAAGTTAAACAACAACTATACGTAACCATTTAAGTCTCTGAAGGACTAATTAATAGATGACATGAGTTAGTCCTGGAAAAAGACATCTCTCAAATGACCCGACTTTATTTTAAACGCATAAGAAAATCGTGATTCAACCACGTATTGATGTAAACAGTTCCATTTGTTGATAATTCATTGGTAAAATCAACAGGCAACAGACAAGCAATTCACTTTGGGTTTTTATTCAATTTTATAATGACTTTATAGATACCCTGCTTTTTACAGACAAGAAAAGTGAGTGGATATCAGATGCAGAATTATTGACACATAATTTAATCCGCGCATTATTTAAATAGAACTGTGGTACTTTACCTCACCGAGTTAATTTTACCGTGTCGAATGTTTATTAAGCATCAAGACTACTGTTTTCGCTTTAGTTGGATTCATTTCAGTCAAAGTGATCTCCAAGAGTATCGTATTTCCTTAAAATAATTCATCATCTGTACTTTTTATATACATGGACAGAAAAGGCAGTGATGTTTTTTTTCTTTGAATAAATCTTTTATTATTGATTGTAACAGAAGGTGTAAAGGTTTTTTCGCTTTTTTGTGTTGGGTTTTCGTTTTCAACTACGGTAACATATAACCTTAGCGTTTTGTGCCCAGTGAAAATTGCCTTTTAAGGCACTTTAAAAACACTTATACTCGAGATCAATTTCTTTGTTGTTCTCTCTGTAAGATCAATGGATAAAGCATCGTCATGGTGGGTTCGCATGCTTTTTCACGGTGGAGAATGGAATGCAACGTGAGAACTGCAATATGTGTTATCACACAGTGTGCGCCGGGCTCATACTAGCTTAATACAAACGGTGCTGTAAGCCACTATCACGTTGACTGTGCAAAAGCATGTTGCGCTACAAAGTCTCTGTTGATTCCTGAGGCGATTGAGCTGCTCAACTGTGATGTCTGAATGAACTACTGATTCCTTTGTATATGTTGACTGCTTGATTTCGAATTCCAAATACATTACATTCGTTTGTGCTTATCTAGTACGTCTAGATTCAATTTCATTATTTCTTGGATTCCTAGTTTGTATAATAATTCAAATATCAATATAGCTAGGAAGATGCTTTCAGATCAACGGCTATCAGCAGATGAGCGTTTTCCAGTTTTCAAGCATGTAGCGAGCGTTATCGGGATTCCAGCTATGGATTTCAATAAGACAATCAAAGTGGACCCCATTAGAGAGGCGGGTAAAAAGCACAGTGATATGGGTGTGGTTAGAAGAAGAAATAACAAGCACGTGAAGGAGAAAAAATGTTATAGGAAGCACCAGGGTATATGAATCTACGGATTCAGTTCCGGACATACATATCGCCACAAAACAGACTATGTGGGCGCTAAGCGTTAGCGGCGTAGATGATGTGATCACGATGATAATAATAATAATAATAGTAATAACATATTTCTGCAAGGGCAGATATACGTCATTTTTGCAGGCATGATAAGGTAATAATAAGGCAACTGATTGGTTCAGTTTCACCCAGGAAAACAAAATTAAGAAAACAGAGTGAGACCTCCGTGTTTGACAACAAGTCGGACTGCAGGGAGATCGTTTCACGAAATAAAACTCCACAGCGTGTTAAGACGCACCTCAATGACAGGTCAGTTATTTTTTATAAGTTAATGGAATCTTCTGAAAAGGATCCAAAGGCTAGATTTGAGCACGACCTCAGCCACATTAAGCCCTTATAAGCAGGCTACTTCCAGAAACATTTTCGGAAGTTTGCATCTGTCAGCTTTATAGAATAGGACAAAACTGGAACTTGAAAGTACTCGGAAAAACCGCTTCTCAAATATTACCTTTGCTTCCGCTGAAGAAAGAAATCTTATACTGGGAATGTAACGCTATGTGATCACATCCTGAATGTACATCCGTGAGCATCTCAGCATAACTCACCGATCGACAGAAGTAGAAATAAATGGGGACCGTCAAAACGGTAAAAAAAACCTCGTACTTAAGAGTCTCTAAATTGAAAACGTTCGAAGCGAAACGATCCCTGAACCATTTTGGGTGGTAAGGGAAAGTTCTCCCCAGAATTGATGGTGCGCCACATAAATGCTCAGAGCCTACAAAATAGGATTGCGGACTTAAGACAATGTTGGACATAGAAAATCTGGATGTCATCGCTATATCAGAAACCTAGTTAACCTCAGAAGTGTACGATAATGAAGTTCAGTTGGTTGCTTTTTATCCAGTAGAGCTGATACATTAAAGGATAAGGAAGGTGGGATTATCCTGTACAAAACAAATACATTAACTATACGAGCTGTCGAGACAGTGGCACACGACTCAGGGATATGTGAAGTGATGTTTTGCGGGCTGAAAATAAATGGCAGGACATGGAATTCGTTGTAGTATACCACAGTCCAGAATGTGTAGAAGAAAACGTCCTCTTAAGCAAACATAAGTCTTGGTGATATAGCGGTAAAGACGTTGTATTAGGCGACCTTATATTTATTCCGGAACACTAAAGATCCTACGAGATATGACCTAAAACACTCGTCTCTTGGACCCAGTCTTCACACACGGTGATGGTGCCACTCAAATAATTTCCCTCCTAACTTTAAGAAGCACTTATGCGGTTATGCAGTTGTAAAACAAATAACCTATCCTTTTATACCCTGAACAGCCCCTATGAATGAGAAACACGGCTAATCTGGGATAGCCCGGGTTATTTGACGTTTACTAAAACAAAAGATAAAATGTTGGAAAATCGCCATCACCCTTGGAACAACAGACATAACGGAACACTATAGGTTGGTACGAGATACAGGCGTAATTACTATCCGGCAAGTTCAGTGAACAATTGAAATGAACTTGGCTCAATATGTAATCAAGCCCTCTAAAGGAATATTCCCGTTTATACTTTAGAGAACAAGGACGTAGAGTTAGATTCTTAACCTGATTACGGGAAAGATTGGATCTAAAATAACATAGGATGACCAGGAAATGAAGAGTCTATTGAAGTCTACTTTTGATATACTGTCAGATCTACAGAATGCAGCTGTTCGTGTAATTCTAAAACTACGGGGTTCGCCATAAAAAGAGCGGTATGAAAAGATAGACGTCTTTACTTTGTTCTATCCCAAAATAAGATGTGATCTAGTTTTGTTGTATAGAATACTAAGAAATGATTTCGGACTTAATACACCTTCTTATTTTTCTTTTCAACAGGTTGAGACACACCAGAGCACACAGTAGGTGAGTAGAAAATCCAAGAACGAACAACATACCCGTGGCATACTGATACTAATATCGGGTAATCAATTGTTGGAATCTGTTACCCGAAACGATGGCGTCCGCATTTTCAATCGACTCATTTAAGAAAAGATTAAGCACTCCTAGAAACCTAAAAGAAAAGTAATAACATAAGCCGCAGGCTCTCTGTCCTTATGACACAAATCCGACTCTGAATCTTTTGTATTACAAGACGAATAAATTTGGTTTGGTCAGTGTCTTTCCATAGTGCAACTTCGAGATTCCAGAACTCAACTAGAGAAGAATATTGAGTTGACTTTAAGGGAGGAAAAAAAGAAAACAGAAAAGACGCGCAATACGGCAATATTTTAATAAGCGTGTTTATGTATGCATCGCCGAATGAGTAACAAAGATAAAATAATACGAAATAAATAAAACAAAAAATAACTAAGAAAATAACTTAATAATGCAGTAAGATATGACTGTAGAATGAGTGTTTGTGCAGTCATAGTTTGGAGTGATGCTATGGAAGTCTCAATTAATTGCAAGCAGTAACCAAATATCAATATGTATGAGTCATTTATACACAGTGAACATAAAAAGAGTGTGAGGAGTTAAATTAAATGTAACACAAGTTATTGTCTTAATAACAAGCTTCTGAATCTTAAGAATAATATTTATTCAGAAGGAAAATGGTGAGAGAGTAAAGGAATGGACATCTAATGAAAGGGTTCAACCATGATAATGATAATTGTGTTGTAATGAATATCGACCTCTGAAATAAACCAACAATTTAAAAAATAAAAGTAAAATCCTTTAGTGCACTCGGATAAATACGTGTGGATTTACGTAATAATATACAGAGTGAAACCGGATATAAGCATAAACATTTGCTCAATAATAATTTGGAATGATGTTATGAGAGTCATAATTAATTGCAATGGATAATCAAATATAAATTTCTATGCGTTATATATATGTAGTGAAGAAAAAATGAATCTGAGAAGTTAATTTGCTTGAGTGTAACATGGGATAGTTTTTTTGTTTTCGGTCAAAGACTTTGGACGTTTAGGAATAAAATATGTTTAGAAGGAGAAGAAGAGATGAAAAGAATATCTAATGTGTTGAGGTACCAATAATGATACGCAAGTATATTTTCACCTCGATGACCAGATAGTCATCATATACTTAGGAGAACCTATTCGCAACCGTCAAACTCTAGATAATTCTGTTAGTTTTGGTAAGGCGGCAATAATAATAATATAGATTTATTCTCAAATAGCAGTTCGTGATATGACGCATGCCAATTTGCATGCAGGATCGAACTGTTACAAAAGTTACAATTTTCACTCTAGTAAATTACTTAGTTGGGTTAATATTTTATAAGACATGAAAGTAGGCGTTTTTATTAAGACCAGTACTGTCAATTTACAAGCTTTATGAAGGTTGCGTTGCGACGTGCAACTGATGGTCGAGGAATGAAACATGTGGAGTAAGATGCACTTGAGTAACAGTTTTGTGTTTTATCACTATGCAAATGTTGGTACCGTCGAAATAAAAATATCGATGACGATATAGGACTGAGAAGGTAAACTTACATATGGCGAGAATGAGAACGTCCCCAAATTTAACCTTCTGGCATTCCATTAAATACTGTTTTCTAGCTAGAATATTTCGAGGTGACAATGTACTATTTGTTGACACCCAACC